CTCTTCATTCTCATTCTCACTTCATTCCTTTTAACCAAACAGCTATAATGTGAAAATAAAACTTTTATCTTCATTTTCATCACTCTATTCTTGATTACCAAACAGCACATGAGAATAATTAGATTTTTATTCTTACTTGAAAATTGGATTTTGATCGCTATAGGGACCTAGGCAATGCTGTACTATCAGGTCCTCTTATCCCCGAGCTCGGACTTTTGGCTAATCTTCAATATTTGTAAGCCTTTTTTCTGTTTTGCTTCATATCTCAGCTTGGAAAGTATATGCCCTTTTTTTTTAAGAGCTACTAACATACCATCGGATACTCTAAGCAGCAATTTCTCTTTGACAAGCTGGATGGACAAAGTACATAACTATGCCATTGCATGTCTTGACATTGATATTCTATTTACTTCAGGGAGGTATATAGCAATAATCTCACTGGAACTATACCTACAGAATTGGGTAATCTAACAAATCTAGTCAGCTTGGGTTTGTACCATAATAAACTGACTGGCCAAATTCCGGCTTCTCTTAGCAACTTGGTATCATTGGTATTCATGTAAGTGTATATCCAATACCTTTCGGACTATCTTGAATTGAACTAATATTTGAGAAGTATTTAGCATCGTAGTTTCTTCATTATACCGTTCCATGTTTCTGATTCCAGGAGATTGCACGGTAACAAGCTAACCGGAACAATACCAACATCTGTTATTAACCTCATTACTACAGGAAGATTGAGGATCCTGTGAGTCAACCTACTTCCTGGTACTTTATTTCTTCTATTTTACAGTTTTTATAGGGATTTGTTTATTAGGCACGCAGGGCGCGGCGTCTTTCATCTGGGCTAGCCAGCCTCTGATTCTTTTATATACGCTTTAGATGCTTCTAAAGTTGACACCATTAGCACAAACTGAATAATAACGATAATAGTTCCCAATGCTATGCTATTCCAACGAGAGGACGTTTTGCATGAAAAGAAGTCAGTTATTTCTGACTGTTTTCCTTCCTTCTTTTTATTGACATGCAAATGATGATTTTTCAGGAATGTTTCATACAATTTATTGTCAGGGACTGTTCACCGCAATAATTCAACAGGTAAATACTGTTTACTTTTCTAGTATAAGAATGGAGATGGCATTATCCCAATAAATCTTTGGACAATAGTTAAAACTGACCGGATCACAGCTGTCTAATTTAACTGGGCTGTTGAGGGAAACTCTGCCGATTTTAGTCCATCATTATCCTTGCATAAAATTGCATGCAAATTTAACAACCAACAATTTGTAAATTCGAAACATCTTTATGTTTTCCAATATATAGTCCAGCAAGGTCCTTGCGTATATGTTCATTTTTTTCCTTAGTAGTGTGCTTATTTACTAATTAAATTAGTTTTGTTTCATTTGGCAGGATTCAGAATTACACAAGTCATACAAGATCCAAAGGCTCCTGCAATGTAAACGCACTGAAGATGGCAAATACAATGGCTAGCTATTCCAGACAATGATGCTATAAAATAAAAATCGGAATTTCTCTGACCTGCTTTCTTTTACAATAAAGCTACATGCTTTCTTTCTATGTAGCATTTGAATTATCATTCAAAGCGTAAAACAAATTTTATTTCATGAGATCATTGCAAATTCTATTGAACATGTTACAGCTCTGAGTCAAACCCAAGATCTTTTAAGGAAGGAAAAAGAAATTGTGCAAGTTACTATGTTTTGAAACACAATCGGTCAGGGTTAGTCCATTTCAGAAAGGACAAACGAAACAGTTTGCAGGCAAAGTTAATCCTAGCATTTACTTTTCTTTATTCGTTTTAATTTCATCAAGAGGCTTAAGCCTTGCAGTATACAACTACGATATCCTCTACTGCGCAAAGTTACCCCATTCTATTGAAACTGAAAGGAATTTTGGACATATGTCTACAATTGCAGTATACATTGATTAAATTAAGAAACATGAATTCTTCATTCTACAAAAAATAAATAAATAAATAAAATAACAATAATCAGCATACTGGCCTGCTTCCAATCATGGAGACTGCAAACAATGAATTTCTTTTTTTTTTTTTGGTACTGATAAGGAAACTAGGACACCCTGACTCCAGATTGCACCATCAACCTTTCCTATGTCTAAGTCCCTTGGAACATGCTTCTTCATCCAGCTGTGAAACAGCAATCTAGTAAATACCGATAGTTCGCACTGTCCAAACATGATTTTAAATTCTTTGTTTAATTCTTTTTTATAACTAGGTAATTAGATTTAAGGAAAATTAACATTTTATTTTAATTATAAATTCAAAACAAAAGGGAAACATAATCCTATTCAGCGAACCCCTCCCCCCCCCCCCCCCCCCCCTCTCTACAAGTTTCTCATTAATTAAGGAAACTAGCAATTTTTAATTTTCTCTTCTTCTCTTCATTTTCTTTTTAATTGATAAAGCTTTCCGCAATTTCAAGCCAAAGTCCAAACTATATGGAGATCTTCCACTTACAACTGACTACATACGGCAAATCTAAGAGATCAAATCAACACTGCAAAAAACTAAAATTGATTGGAACATCTACTGACTACATCCCTAGCTCTCTTTTCATTATAAACACACAAAAATTATTATTTAATTTTTATCAATGTTAAACACATTTAATTTAATATTATTTTATCTTAAAAATATCTTTTTTTCTCATCAATTTTTCATATTTTTTTCTTTTTCTATTTTTTAAATCAAAATAAATTAAAAAAGAAAAAGATTAAATTATAAAAAAAATTAAAAATATAGAAACTAAATATATTTTGTCTACTATATGGTTTTTCTATTTTTCAAATCATTTTGATTGAGAACATGTACTCTGTTTTAAATTAATAGAGTCTTTTGTTTCAATCTTTCTATTATAACATTGTTAATCATGGACTGACATGGTGTGTCTATTCCTGAAAATATAACATATATCATACATGAGATTCTAATAGAACTAAAAACTCAAACAAAACAATTTAGAGAGTATAAAGTTTTTATCAAAACAATTCAAAAAATGCAAGAATCAAATTATTAATTTTTTCTCTTTTACTTTTTTATGTTATTTTGTTTTTAAAACCTCATCTTGATTGCTGTGAAACATTTCATATGTATGATTGCATCACAATAAAACTTTAAAGGATTTTTAAAAATAATAATAATTTATAACTAATAAAATACATACAAAACAAACCTAACGTGTAGTTTAAAAAAAAAATACAAATATATTTATCAAAATTAAAATAAAAATAATACTGATATTGATTAATAGCTAACTATCAAAATCGAATAAAAAATTTGGTGCAATTTCAAGTTTTTTTGAGAGAGCAACCGTATTTTTTTCACTTTGAATTGGTCAAATATTTGTTTTGATAACTATATGTTACGTTTTATTTTTCACGTATTATTTTATTATTTTTAACTTATTATAACAGTATTTAAAAAAAAAATCAAAGTTTTTATGTGATGGGATCTTACATATAATACAATTCATGTATTTATTATGAAGTTTAAAAAAATTAAAAATTAAAAAAGAAAAAAATAATTTAATTTTTGTACTCTTTGAATTGTTTTGATTAAAATATCATACTCTTTAAATTGCTTTGATTAAAGCTTTATACATTTTGAATTTTTTTAATTGAGTTTTTTTATTGGACCTCATGTATGACATAGTAACACTTTCAAGAGTAGATGTGTTACGGTAGCTCATAACAATAATGTTATATTTGTGGAACAAAAATAAAATAAAAAGTAAAAAGACTCCGTCAATATGAAAAAAAAATGCAGAATCTCAATTAAAATCATTTGGAGAATGCAAATACTATATCTGGGAAAAAACTCAAACTAAATAATTATTTTAAGATAACAAATTAATTCATTCATTTCTAAGAACCAAAGAGACTAATTTATAATTTATTCCATTACTAATGGAAAAAATATTAAACAAATTAATGTAATAAAATAATATAATCAACTCTTAAATTGATAGAGGGATATGATTATATAATTGGTCATGGTACGAGAAGGTATATATAATTAACTCTTTCTTTAGCCCTACTCTGTACCACAATATATATAAGGAAGTTGCTAATGGCATAGCCTTTGGTTTTTCTAAAAAAAAATTAATTGACAAAATTAGCCTCTCTCCTTTTGCAGAACATAAAAAAATACTTAAGCCAAGTCGCTCTCTCTCTCTCTCTCTCTCTCTCTTAATCCCGGGCTAATCCTCTCACGTTTCATCGTTGAAGCTCCACTGATTGCCGCAGGCGGCAAGCCCCCTGTTTCCTTCTTTTTTCTTTTTTTTTTTAATTTTTGTTATTTTCACTTTCTTTGTTTTTGTTTTGTTACTTTCTTTCAATAATCTTCCATCTAGGCTTGTATCTTCTAGATTGCTTGTTTTTTTTTATTCTTCAGAAATTTACCTACAAACCCATGTGTGGCTTGGACAAAATAATTCCATAAGAAAAGAAACCATCTGTGCTCAATGCACACTTTGAAAGCACACGTTCCAGGCCCGTTCTAAAAAACCCACTTCTCCAGAGCTGAATTCGTGCTAGCTTTCCGTGATCTTTTTTGTCTATTCTCGCACGGTGGTAATTTATGGTTCTGGTATATAAGAAATGAGTTTATTTCATAGTTATTGAAGTTTTCTATTTTTTTTACGATTAAAATTCTTTATTTTTAAATATTTATTCATTAATCTATCTAATGTGTCGTTTAATTATTAATAATAATCAATCATTGATCGACACTTGACTATGTCAATTTTAAAATACAATATTTTTTGTCTAAATTAAAAATTAAATCTAATTGTATTAATAAATTCATAAAAAAAAAGTGAAAAGACCAAAAACTCAATTATTATCGTCAACAACCTCTCTCTCAAACCACTGGAACCCATTATCACCAACCCATCACCATCTAAGTTATTAAACCACAAATGCAACTTTTGAAGCACAAGCTTCTTCCCTTTTTTTCTCTCCTATGCTCCCTTCGATTTGCCATCCCCACCGGAGCCAACCCCTCTGCCTTTAAGGCCTAGGTAAATCCCATCATCCCATAACAATGTAGACCCATCCTTTCTTTTTGCACATAGACATACCACAAGAAATTTTATAATACATATGAAGTAATTAATTATATGTACAGTAGTTATTTCATAAATTCGGAAAATTAAACGAATATGGAAAGCTTTTTATCATTTTTTATGGATCGGAATATAATTCAATGCGTCTATCTCTCTTCTAAAAAATAATTACTGTATATATCATTAATTACTTTTGTATATTATAAAATTTTTTCAATAACGACATTTGTGCCTGTTAGAGATTTTCCGAAAAAAGAGCTTCCCACTTTCTTGCCTTCTCTCATATTTTTTAGGCGTGCAAATCTTCTTGGAGCCCTTTGTGGATTTAAGTTCACTTTTGGGAGATAGAGAAAACGGATTAGTTGATTGATTATCAACATTTTCCTTTTACATCTTAGTATCACTAGGGTCACTAAGGTCATCAAGATTGCTAGGCAGAGAAGCAGGATCAAGTTCAAAAGACCCAGCAGGGACACCCTCTCCTTCCTTATAGAGCTCAGTTGGTGGAATGCAAAATCGGATAATCCCGTTATGAGCAGCTTGTTGAAAAATGCTGACAAATCCTTTTACTTCATGCAAATAAGCCATCCCGATGCCAAAGTTTTCATCAAAATCTGATAGGACCTCTATAAATTCAAATCTGTGAGGTAGCTTGTGTTTTTCTTGTTCGGAACTGCATTTCATTTCCGAATCCTTGACAAGCACCCAAGTTTCCCCTTTTTAAGGATATATCATACAACTGCCTCTGCTTCTGCCGTTTAAGAGAGAAGGGAGATGTGGAGAGAGAGAAGGAAACTAGCGAGAGAGAGGCCGTTGATGACGATAATGTGAGGGGTTTGGTCTTTTCACCTTTGTTTTTTTTTTCCCTATTAATTTATTATTAAAATCAGTTTTTAATTATTTTTTTAATTCAGAAGAAACTGTATTTTAATACGTGTTTAGTCACGTATTATTAGTGATTGATTACATTAGATGAAAAATTAATGAAATTATAACGAAAGATTTAAATTAACAAATATTTAAAAACAAATGGTTTTAATCAATTTAAAAAAGGAATTGAAGGTCTCAATTAAAAAAAAAATTCATCAAAAAATTATGTATTACTGTGAGAATGATGGCTGTAATCAAAAGGAAATGGGCGGAGAATGAAGGTTCGGGTGGCCTGAGATGGTGTCTTGGGAGGGTAAATTGGATCATAGAGACTAACAGAGTCGAAGAAACTAGACAAAAGGAAATAGGTTCCCATGAAATAAATTCATACCATACAGCGTGGGTCTACAGCTGATATTTAGCTCATCTTCCTTTCGAATTCGGAAAAATGAGAAATAAAAGGCTAGTTTTGTCATTTGATTGACAAAAAAGGAAGAGGCCTTGTCAATGACCTTTATCTAGAAACACAAATGTTCAATTTTTTTGCTAGGACAATTGATGCACGAAACAAGTTGGGTGAGGCCGTGGCCCGTGAGCCCGAAATCCTATCAGAATAGGTCTAATTATGGTTCCTCATCATCGGAATGGGCCTAAGAGGTTTTAGTTGGTTCGGGCTCATACGGAGATGAGCCTCTAATGATCAAAAGCCCTACAACAAATGCAAGGGTCCCACCAAACCCATCCTATCTTATTAAACAGGGAAAGTTGACTACCATATACTATATGCAGCCTAGCTAAAGCTTATGTGAAATTGTCCTAAGTAGATGAGCTAGCTATGAATAAGTTGGTAAATTAAATCTACCAAATAATTTTGTTTTAAAATTATGACATAAGAAAGCTTAATCCTTCAAGATTGGCAGTGGCACCACACAAAGCAAGTTTGGACCAAACCTAGTCCTCAACATGTCATAAAGGCCGAATGAGTTTGTTGATTTGGACGAACCCTGGACACGAAGCAAAGTTACCATGAATGGATGGACAAAGCCCAAAGTGGAAGCGCACGAAGCTAAAAGAAAGTAATTGAATTTGAGTGTGGAGGGAAAAGGAGATGGAAAGAACGAAAAGCAGCTCGAAATTGATTGGATGCTTTATCGTCAACATGTTGAACTGTATACATAATTCAAACTAAAAAGATCTTTGACGCCCAATTCGCCTTTATGCGAGCTTATCATGGTGGATTCAGCTTTTCCATGGGACCAGGACATGATTTAATTGAAGCCTAGCATCGCATCACTTTTGGATTAAATAGTTTTCCAATTCTGAAAAAATTTCTTTTGAGCCAAAAGAATATTATTCTGTTGTGCCTGAAATTGCTACTCTTGCTTTGCTCGGAAGGGGTTAAAAAATCAGTTTCCTTCTTATTACCAGCACATAATAAGGAAAAAAGGGGTTGCGCTATCAAATTCCTTTGATGAGAGATTTGATACGGTGGTCGTAAGATGTCAAAAACTATTCAACAATAAAATACAAACCATCAAAAATTTTATTTGAATGACGGCCGATCATGATAAATAAATATTATTAAAATATAGATTTTTCATGTGTACATTGAATTTTAAAAATTAAAATAACACAAGGAATCGAGGAAGTTTGAAATTTTGTAATAGTTTCAAATTCAAAAAAAAATTATTTGAAAAATATATTAGAGCGCTAACTAAAAAAAAAATTGATTTGATAAATATATATATTTTTTTAAATTCATCAAAAAAATATCATTATGAGATCTTATGTCTTTTTTTTTATTAAATTGGCAAATTGAATATTGAGTAAATAATTTTGCAAATTCAATCTTGTATTCATCACATTTAAGCAATTCAATTCAACTGACTTAAATTGTTAACAAAAACATTCATGTAATGCACAATGTTAACTAAAATGCTTCATCTAAATTTTGACTCACTAGAGTTAGAGGATCATATGACAATACTACAAATCTCTCATAAAAACCCCTCTAAATAGTAGATTTGAAAAAAATTAAAAATTAAAAAACTTGTTAATCTTAAGTTTAGGTGAAGCCCATGAGATGATTTATATTATTTCTTAGCACACTCTTTCAAGTGAAAGCTTTTTAACCTTGAAAATTATACAGATTCACACTATCTTATACTTAATTAATTAGAAGAGAAAGTAAGGTGGCGGGATTAGAACTCTTAACCATTAAGTTAGCAAGGTTTTGATACCATATCAAATGATCATTTCATCCAAAAATTTAAGTTTTAAGTGATATCTCATTATATGATTTATATTATTTTCTAATAAATTTTTGGTTTATTTTATTTTAATTCTTCTAAAAGTTAAAACTAAGATACTTGGTGGAAATTGTTTTGTATATGATTAATATATTTTCCAACTCATCAAGTTTTGACAAATGAATTTTTCTGAATAATTGGAAATAGTTAGATTGAATTACTTAAACATAACTATTATAGTATCGAAATTATAAAATTATTTACACAAGATTCAATTAGGCAATCACATGCAAACATAAGGTCTTTAAATTGGAATTTTGCTAAACTCTTAGATTGAGATTTAGTACTGATTATACACTCAATGATGAGTATGGAAAACTTTTCTGTTTGAAGAAGCATAAGACCAGCTAAATCTTTTAACACTTGTTCCAACTTTCCCCATTTTCATCATGAAAGCATAAAAAAGGAAGGTAAAAAGAGGAGGTGCAATGCTGGTGCTAGGCTTAGTCAAGTCACACCTTTTAAGGAGAAAGGTTCAATCTTATGTCTAATCCTACATACAAAGTCGTTCTCTGTTGTCTCTTCCACTAATATAAAACTGTTAGTCGTGGATTAAAGGAAACCCAGCAACCATGCTTGTGCAGATCAACTAAGAATTAAGTCAAAAGACTCAAAAATTCTAATCATGGATCTCCAAACGAACAATTATGTCAAACTTTAAAAGACGAGTCTCACATGCCAACAACCACAAATTGCCCAGCTAGTGGACCTGATCCATTAACCCAGCTAGCTGCAACATCTCAGTGCCTCTCCAACCTAACCAACACTTTGCTTCCAAGATAACGACACTGATGAAAATTGAAAAGAAACAATACTGGAAAGGTCAAGCTTTTAAATCTTTTAATTTTTTATTTTTTTTGGGTTGCATAGGAGAGATTTGAATTCAAAATTTCTTGAAAGAAATAGAAACACTAAATCTCTTGGAAGAAATAAAAACCCTAATATTAATTGAGTTACATCTTTTGACAAATTTTTTGAAATGCTAATCTACTACTACTGAGATAATTTAATTTTTTATAGCATTTTTATTCTGATGTGAGAAAGAATAGTTGGGTCCCACGTGGCTGCATATACATAGTTATTTTGCAAAAAGGCACAAAGTTTTTATTATTATTATTATTATTATAGAAATTATAGGTTATGACTAAGGGGTATGTTTATATTTTCATTTATTAAAATGAATAAAATTTTTTATTTTAAAAAACTAATTATTTGCTCAATTAAACTGTGTTATCATTCTTAATTTAATACTATTTTATTATAAAAATTGTCTTATTTTCTCATACAATCTTTTCATATTTTCTAATTTTTTAATTTTTTTATTGCTTAAAAAAATAAAATGAAATGAAAAAGACCATGAAATTTAAGAAAAGGAGAAAATTAAAAATAGATTTATATAGGGATTTAATTAATTTTTAAACTACAGAAATTATTTAATTTATTTTGCAAAACTTAAAGGAGTAATTTATAATCTACTCTTGTGACTAATTAAATTATTTTAAGTTTATTGGAAATTTTTATGAAAGATGGTGGCCTGGTTTTAAATGTCATTTAAGCATTTTCGCGGAAAGGTGACAATGGAGGATGTTTTTGCTTTAATGTTAATATATGGTTATTAAAGCATTTATATGATATTTCGAGACGATTAGAAACTTTTTTAGGATAATTAGAACCCACATATATAGATTTAAATTTGCAAAAAGGAATATTAAAAGTGAACTAGAATGATTTTTTTTTCTCGCCATGGTCATTTTTGCACTTATATCAATATGACAGTTTTGGGGGTATTTGAAACTTTTCTATATACTCGAAAGGGCATGAAGCATAAAGTAGGTAATTGAAGTGTGTATTGTAGAAATTGATGATGGTTTGCCTAGGTTTATTGCCTTTTATCAGAGTCGAACAATAACCTCTATGTTAAAAGAAAAAAATATACCCATTTATTTTTATATAATATTTAAAGAATGTGATATATTTTTAAATTTTTAATTATATTTTATTTTTTAAAAATATTTAAAAAATTCAATTAATTTATCCAGTTAAATAATTTTTTTAATTAAAATGCTCTTACTTAAAATATATATATATATATATGTATATATATATATATAAGTCATGTGAATTGAATTTTTTTTTGTTTTTTTTTATTTTAGTAAAAAGCATTCAATAAAAAAAATTTGATGAAAAAACTAATTGAATATTTTTAAAAAATTTATAATCAGATGAGATGTAATTAAAAATTTAAATATAGAAAAGAGATTTTAAATATTATATAAAAATAAATAAATAAATTTATCCTTTTAAAAGAGAAGTATTGCCACTAGTTATTGATTATCTAGAACTTCAAGCAATGTCTTAAAAGTTACTTGAAACCTTTCTAAATGTGAAGAGGGTAATTAGGTCCCATACGTGTAAAGATCCAAAGACCAAACTTGACTCGTACCGTGTGCAAAACCCCTGACATGACTGTTGAATTGAAAAAAAAAAAAAAACAGAGAGAAATGTCTGAGAGGCAACGAATCTCCGCCCAATTGGTTGACTTAAAATTATTCGAACGATGCTTCTTTTCTCATTAGTAAATTAGGAGTGCTGAACTTTTTTTAAATCGGGCCTTTCAGTGCCGAATCTACTGTATATATTTGAGTTCTTATAACACATTAAAAAATATTATTGAAGTATATATATATATGGTAAACGTTTGCTCGACCACACACATATATTTCCAAGTGATATTATTCTCTTATGCTGATGCTGTTCAGACCTGTCGTCCATTTCCATATATTTTTAATACCTCTGAGATACGCAGAAAAAGAAGTGCAGATATAACATATATAATAATTAATAAACAAACAAATTAAGTAATGCTTTAAATATTATTTTCATGCTTGCGGAACTTGAAACTTGAAAGTGGGAAATGGACAAGCTTGCTGAGTCAAATATTCTCTTTCATCCTTTGTTATGCGCTCTCTTCTTCTTCTTCAAAAAAAAAAAAAGTTTGCTGTTTTCGCTCCATCCGATACTGCATGCACGCAACACCTCTGCAATCTCTTTGACTACTGTCGGTATATATGATTACCACTTTATTGTATTAAAAAAGCTGCTTGGTGAATCATTAATTGCTACTAATAACTCGACGATCGTAACTAAAAGATAAATCTTCACTTGTGGTTATCATTACTGCTTGACCAGCGAGCACCACACGTGCATGCTGGCTTCTTTCAACCATACCTTGTGTGACTTAAAATCGAAAATTCCTCATGAATCCAAATGCAATGTAACAATGGATATGGATCGTTCTGCTTTGTTTGAATTTCTTCTTGAATTTGTAATCATATGGTTGTCTTTTATATGATGAAGTATGCCCTTATAAAGGGTCATTGTCCGCCATATATGAGGACCATTACAGTGGTCCTGACAGTGAAACTGGACTGCTCTTGTTTTACTTATTCCCTTGCTACTACTACTCTCCAACGCTTCCAAGTTCTGACATGGCCAGCAATGGCTGAACAGGAATAGAAATATACACTGTACAGGTGATGAGGACAGAATCGACCTCATAGGGGACGAGCAAGGGTCGTTTAGAACGTGCAAGAACTTCGCAGCATGAGACCGAGGAACTAAACATACCACTATTCCGTTTGAACCGAAAAACCAAGCTGAATGGAACATTTCGATTTAGTTTTGTCCTTTTTTTAATTTATTTTTTTAATCGAATTTTAATTTTAATTTTTTATTTGGTTTGAACTGAAAGATTTTGAATGAGTTGGTCATTTTATTCATTTTGATTTGGATTATCTAAAATAATAAATGATATTTTCAAATAAATATCTCTTAATTTAAAATCATAATAAATCTTACTAAGATAGTAGAATTTTTCTGTTTTAAAAAAATGACTAAATCCATAAAAATCATAACACTTTTGCAAATAAAATTCAAGCATTCGATATAAGATAAGATTTCATCCACAAAATCAAAACATGTTCTAACTTCTTTGATAAGTTTCATGTATTCTCCTCACATTCATTCTCATGCACATTTCTCACTCTTTTTTTATTATTATCCATTAAAATCGGGGTTAGGCCGACTCGCTTTTTAGAGCAATCGCTTGTTGTTCTTATTTTTAAGATATAATCATATTGAATGTCCCAAAAAGACAAATAACGAATAGAGAAAGAAGGTAAATGTGGCAATTTAAGAAGAAAATTTACATGATGTTGTAAATTAATATTATATGAAAGCATGATAAAGATACCATGCGATGCATTCATGACCTACAATGGCAAAAAAGTGAAGATAATCATGATGAAAAAACTACTCGACTTTAGAAACAAAATATGTTTTTTTTCATAGCTAGTTATTTAGTTTTGTTCCTTTTCTTGCACTTTTGGACAAGTCGGCCAACAATAAAGGCATCCTCAAATGTGTTAGCGAGTGAGCTAGAGGAGAAATCATACTTCGTAACCCTCGATCTTGTCTCATCATACAAGTTTTGATTTATGTTCTCCTTTATCCTCGAAGTGTTCATTGTCGTGTTCTAAAGAGGGTGATCCTAAACTAGATCTAGCTCGTCAAGTATAAATCATATATGCTAGTTTTAAAAAAGTGATATAGATGGGAGGAATATCGATTATTTCATCATCGAAATCTTGATCTTTCTCATATACCATCTTCTTCTCCCTTTTCGATCCTCAAATCTCAAATAATCTTCCTCTTTTGGCTTGAAACCCAATCTAAAATGATGATCGACCTTTTGTGATTCCACATAGTACGTCCGGTCGGATGATATAGTTCTTAAACCATACAATGATGGTCCATACTTTGCCAAGTATTTTGTTGTCATTTTTTATAATTTTTAAGCTACAATTAAAATATGGCTTTTGGTAAGTTGCGGCTTCAGGAGCTTCTACTCTAATGAACTCAATTCCATCTACTTAGTATCCATATGGCTTAACTTCTTTTCTTTTAATGCCCATTGTTGGCATGTCCATTTCGGATCTCTCCTTCTTTTCTTTTTATCATGGGAATTATCGAGACCATTAGAGCTTGCATATTTTCACAAAATTCATGACAATTTTCAATATTTTATCCACTCTTTTTGTGGAACATACATAAATACTTGGTATCGGCAAGAGCTTGAGACTTAATAGATTTTTTTTTATGTTGACGAGTACTCATCATATCAAATAAGTCGGACATAAAGACTTTCAAGGCTAACTCCTTTTTATTATTCCCTGTTCCATTTAATACATGCTTATTCACCCCACTCGATAGCGAGTATGATTAAAAAAATGATTATTGTTCACATTTGAAGTGCCTAGAGTATCCTCGAATGAAATGCCTTGATCAATCAAATATCGAACTTGCTTCTTAAAACTAGCATAGTTCTCAATATTATAACCATATATACCATTATAGTATTCTTATGATTCCATTACATTTGAACTAATAAGTGAATGGAAGTTGCATCGGAGTAACTATCATAAGAGTTATTTGACCAATACTCATAAGATGTTTGAAGAGATCTCCAAGATAAATGAGAAAGATGGCAATGTATCTTTCTTTCTTCCATGACCAGGATCTCCAAAACAAATGAAAAGGATTATTGTTCACACTTACGGTGTTTGGAATACCTTCAAATAGAATCATGCCTTTGTCGAGTTAATGAGTTAACGTATTTTTCAAAGTCTAGACAATATTTGATATTATGACCAATCATGCCACCATAATATTTGTAGAACTCAATTAGATTGTACCACCGAGGGAATGAAAGTTTTCATAGAGTACTCTTCATAGGAGTTACTTGATCGATACTTACGAAGTGCTTAAAGATATCACTTGATGAAATAGACGGAAAAGGCAACGGCTCTCTATATTTTTCACGACTTATTTTTTTTATTTATTTTTTCACCCATGAGGTTGTTTGCAATAGGTTTACGGATGTAATTGTACACATTATTAACCTTTTATATGATTTTAAATTTAACATGAATTTATTTTTGACTTTGTTTAAGAGTAACCATCTTGTAGATAAATTTCTTCTATATGTAAAAAAGCTTCGCATTCCGCTTAATAGATTGTCACGAGCTTAAACTTTATAATGGAGTCACCATTCCATCAATCGAAGCTTGTGAAGGGAAATTAAGAAATCCAAAAACAAACTAGTTTATATAAATATCTAGGTAAGGAGTCGATTACATAGGAGATGAAAGACAATACATAATATAGAGGTGTGAAATAAATAAAAAATTTTGTTCTCCTCCATCTAAATTTTTCAAGAGTAATCGTTAAATCAACTAATTATATTAACAACAAAATGATTAGGAGTTACCTCTTGTAGCATAAAAACTAATTCGTAGAAAGAACCATCTAAGCATTTAGTCTCTATTAATGATCCACGCAACTTAAATATCACATAAAAAGTGACAAAAATCATAAAGTTCTAACTATAATCTTTTTTTCTATGTATAATTTTCTCTCAAAGAAATCTCGCAAGGGTAAATTTAAGTGAGAGAGTTGTGACAACTTTTGCCTTTTGGAAGAGACATACTTTTTAACTTTTGACTCTTAGATTAATTATTACAATATTTTTATGTGTGTCTCTCTCCCTCCCTCTCTCTATATATATGCAACAAGCAAGTCTTTCTAGGATAAGAGTTGTAATTTATGTAGGCTTTATTTGACCTTATTTATATAAACCCTAAGTCTTATCCTTTAGTGCTTAAGATTATCCATCTACTTAAAATACCTTGTAAGTTTTTACTTAAACAACTTAGCCTAAACACCTTTGGCCTAATAACTTAACAATTAATGTGAACCATCCAAATAGGTCGGGTAGTTTGAAAGAGACCCACATTAAAAAATAATTTCCTAAGTTACCCTTAAACCTAAATTAGAAAACTAATTTTTAAAATAAGAAACTAATTTCTTTTTTAGGTAATTGAATGCTAAATTAGAAAATTTATTTTCAAATTAGGAAACCGATTTTTGAAATAGAAAACTCGATTTCCAAAATAGAAAATTTTTTCCAAAACCTTCATTTCTTTTTCGTGTGAATGTTTAAACTTATGCATATGACTCAATAGGTTCCTAGATATGTTCGTAATGTATCAAGAAAATAAAAGATATTTCTTTTATCTCTTGATACACAAAACAAGATTGACTTCTATGAAGGCATCATGACTACCCAATTCTCTAGAATGATTAGTTAATTTGTAATTACCTTTCACGAGTATGATTTTCATAAATCAAAATTGGCTTTTAGCAAAGCATTATGACTCAATCATTAATGCAATACATATCATATGGACTTTTATCTAATTCTAACAAATTATAAATAACAAGAATTAATAAAAAAAAAAGCTTCTTTATTGATTTTGAAAATACAATAATATAATATATCAAACCATCCAAACGAGTTGGATCTTGGACACCTACACTAACTTAAGAAAGATTAACATCATCACTATTCCATCATACCTAAAGCGAGGCTACATTATATACATGTAAAAATTAAAATATGATTTTGTTATGTTATGATTTTATGCTTACTTAAAGTGAATTTATTTTATTGAGGTAAATTGATTGAATAATTTGGGATTTAGGCTAACCAAAAGCCTAAATCCAAACTCTAAGTGGAATTGAGGATAGAAAGTTAGAATTTATGCTAATCCTTATCAACTCGTAAACCTATACCAATAAATAGGTGAGTCTCTAAAGATTGGAAGATCATATTGACATGAATAGGAAGCCATCGATGACTTCGCTCATATATGTGGGAAGCCACCGATGATTTCAAATTATGAACTTAGGAAGCCACATACAACTTCATCTACAAAAGTAAGAAGCCATAGACAACTTCATTTACATAAGTAGGAAGCAACCGATAGCTTTGATTCACACAACAACAAGTCATTTAAAAATGTTTGAAAGCCAATGATGGCTTCATTCACATAAATGAGAAGCTATCAACGATTTTATTTTAATGAATAGCAAAATAGGTAAATAGGTTTGGAAGTCATTGGTAGCTTCCTCCACATAGGTTAGAAGTCATCGATGACTTTGTTTTTATGAACGAGAAAATAGCTCAATAGTTTCGAAACCACCGATGACTTCATTTATATATGTGAAAAGCCATTGACGGATTCGTTTTTAGAAACGACAAAATAGTTAAACGACTTTGAAGGCTACTGGAGTCACCAACGACTTCAAATCACAATGTAAGGAAGCCATCAATGACTTTAATTCACAAAAAGAAAAGTCATTGATAACTTCAAATCATATCATTTGGGAAGCCACCGACGACTTCGTTATCATAATTTGAAAGCCACCGATGACTTCATTCTCATAATTGGGAAGCCATTGATGATTTATCCATAAAATTTAAAAAGTTATTAATGACTTTAAATCACATAATTTGAGAAGCTACCAATGACTTCGTTCACACAAGTAGAAAGCCATCAATTACATTATCTACAAAATTTAAGAAGTTGCTAACGATTTTAAATTACATCATTTGAAAAGCCATCAACGACTTCGTCCGGAAAATTTAGAAAGTCAATAACGACTTCATCCACATAAGTGAAAAGCCACCGACGACTTCATCCATAAACAAGTAAAACAACTAACTAGATTTGAAAGCCACTAAGGTCTTTGCCCACATTAGCAGGAAACTATCAACAACTTCATTTCAACGAACAACAAAATAGCTAAATAGGTTTGAAAGTCTTTGGCGACTTCATCCACATAAGCATGAAGCCATCGACGACTTCATTTTAACGAACTAAAAACGAGATAAAAAACTTTGGAAGTCATTGATGGCTTCGTCCACAAATATGAAAGGCCATCGATGATTTCGTTTCAATGAACATAAAATAACTAATAAGCTTTGGAAGCCACTAACGTCTTCGTCCATATAAATAAAAGCTACCGACAATTTCATTTTTACAAACAATGAAATATTTAAATCATGCGTTGAAAATAAATATCACATAATCAAAATATCACAATCAATACATCAAATCAATTATATCATTCAAAACAAAAATAAAATCATTCTTCACGTGCAAACATGGGACCGACATTCGTTTCGAATAAATTATTGAAATTAAAACTTAAATTCATCCTTTCGGTTCTATCGCAAAGTATTGATCGACCTTATTTTACCTCAAAATATCTAGAATCTTTGACATTTTCGAATATATATATACATAAGTTTAGAGATTAATTTCAAATAACGAAAAATTAAAGGATGGCTAGGCTTTTTAACCAATCAAATATTGAATAAACGAAAGAGACCCACGTCTTCAATACCTTGCAGTCGAGAAAATTCCTTTCCTCGTTTTTTGAAAAAGAAAAAAAATGCACAGTAACCAAACTCTTTTATGAGATCTATAAATTCCCCAACAAATGCTGCTTTCCTTGTGCTTCTATTCTTTAAAAAAACTTACTGAACTCGCTCTCTCTCTCTCTCCCCATCTCTCTCTGTAAAAGAGCCATTAGCATCTTGACTCTTTACCCAACGCCTAAAGTTCTCTAAATGGCAAGCTGCACTGCGTTTCATCTTCTTCTTCTTCTTGTTCTATCAATCATTCTAGCACTTACAAATGCAAATTTAGAAGGTACACATGCGTTTTTCTTCTATTTATCTTTTTCATTTTTCACCAACTGTGAGAGCTGAAACTACATGACTTTTTTGTAGCTTTCTTGATTTTTTTTCCTACGCTCCATGAACTAGGGGATGCTTTGTACGCTTTGAGGAGAGCAGTGCAGGATCCAGGGCATGTTCTCCAGAGCTGGGATCCAACCTTAGTGGATCCATGTACTTGGTTTCACGTTACTTGCGATAGTGATAATCGGGTTACCCGACTGTAAGCATCATGCTATTTACTAATCTTGCAGAGTTCCAGGATTATACTTCTTTTTTCCTTACATTTTATTTTACCCTTTTTGCACGTTTGCTTTAGTTTGTATTTTTTGTTCGTCTGGTTGTTAAGGTTTGAAAATTATTACTAACTTTTTTGCTTTTCAAAGAAACAATTTAGCCTATAAATAGTCAAATATTCATTATTGATTATTATTTAATCCACCAGGAAATCTGATTAGGCTCTAGAGACAAGCCCTCAGTTCTGACCATATTTAATTTCCATGCATGCATCACACATATTTTGTACATGATGATCTCAAGGGTGGACAACCTTTTCAAACATGATGTTCAAAGATTATAGTATATCCTTAACCTTTTTTTGTCCTTTTCACGACTCAAAATCTTTGAAACAGATTGTGTGACTCTGATGTACAAATAAAGGAGAAGAATAGGGAGAAAAAACATAAACATTGTTTATGAATATACATACATGCACATGTAAATTTAAGAGTAGCATATATATATATATATATATTGATGAATTGTTATGGAAGTAATTAACTTGAACAAAATTGTAGGAGTAATAGATAGTACTGAGTAAAATAACATTGGTTGTTGCAGAGACCTTGGAAATGCAAAGCTTTCAGGCAGTCTAGTGCCTGAGTTGGGGAAGCTCGTCCGTCTTCAGTATCTGTAAGCACTTCACATTATCAATAGTATTTAAAGCCTTCCTTAGCAACACCAACATGTCTTTCATTTGCTTAATTACATAGACTACCTATCTAACTGCTTGATGTTCCAATGATTTTAATGGAAAAGAACTCCATACCATAATACCTTAATGCTACAAGCAATGATTTTTTAAATTCGTTGAAACTTGAAAGAACACTAGAAATTGGGCTAATGTAAGGGAAAATGGGAAAATTAGGACTGCTGTATCAGTCTATGAACTAACTGAGTAGTTTATCAATATGGTTAATAGGATTCTTTATTAATAAATCAGTTTGCTGGTAATTTATCATGGACTAGCTAGATCATTACAACAGATACCTTTCCTACCATCTTTTGGCCTTGTGATCATATGGACACGAAACTGGTGGGATACTGAGTATAATTAAATTCGACATGATTTAAGATGTGCTAAAATTTTAGTGCTAACAATACTAATTGTTTGGTTTATGTTCCTCCCTATGTAGGGAACTGTACATGAATAAACTGATGGGTTCTATACCAAAGGAACTTGGTGACCTGAAGAGTCTTGTGAGCTTGGATCTGTACCACAATAACCTTACTGGGACCATTCCTGCTTCGCTTTCTAAGCTATCCAATCTTAAATTCCTGTAAGCATTCTCTCATATGTGTTGGTCTTAATTAGCTGCCAAATTCATATACTGATATTATGCTTGATCAGAATCAAGTGGATGGTCGTCAGTAAGACTGTCGGTTCTTTTTCTCTTGCATCATTACCTAGCTAACGCTGCTGTTGGCCAATGGTGCGTCACGAAATTTTCATGCAGGAGACTGAACGGCAACAGTCTGTCTGGAAGGATTCCAAGAGAACTTACCAACTTGAAGAGCCTAAAGATCCTGTGAGTCTTCTTTGGGATCCCCAAATCACCTTTCTTCTAAGTAAACAATCTTTTGCCCCTGTAACAATCTATTCTATTCTGTGCAGTGACGTCTCAAACAATGATTTATGTGGCACCATACCCACCTCAGGTTCTTTCTCAAAGTTCAGAGAGGAAAGGTAACTAGACTGATTTCTTGGTATTAAAAGCTTTCGTTTAATTCCTTCGTTTGATCATCTTTTCATTGATCTTTTATTGGTGGGTTCTTTTTTGCTGGTGGTTTGAAAGCAGTTTTGTGAATAACTCAAGACTGGAAGGACCAGAGCTGATGGGATTTGTGAGATACGATGCCGCTGGAAGTTGTAAATGACAGATCACTAAGAGGCATTTCCCTAATTTCATATATTAACTCATTATATGGCAAGGGCTGTTTGATTGTTTCCTTCTATAATATTATTAGATGCTTTTTGTTAAAGTCATACACCAAGAAATCCTCTTTATGTTATAATTAAGAGAAGAATCTTCAGTCACCATATCTTGCGGTGACTCTCAGCCAACTGCATTTCCATTTAATGTAGTAACAGAACATAGAGAGTATATATTGTCTACTCCTTGATGACGTGAATAAGATGGTAGAGATAAATGAGGGTTAAACTATGCCTTTCTGACCTCAATTAATGAAGGTTTTTTTTTTTTATCCTTTGGCTAGTCAGTAAACATCATGGAACATGATTGCTTTGGGACAACGAAATCACTAAGTAAACTGAAATACAGAATGCAAAATGTTAGATAATCTATCCAGTTAGCACTCCACTCGACAACTCAACTCAATGCAAACTGGTCCTCAATTTAGAGCAAGGAAATGACTCCCCAACAATATTTCTCATATTACATTGATAAAAAAATAAAAAATAAAAACATGTGCCATATGCTGTCACAGCTTCAGATGTCAATGCTGGGAGTGAAGTGTTACGATGGATTAAAAAAACAAAATCATAGGTTATAAGTTGGACTAATGGATGCATAATTTTAGGTTGGATAAAAAACATCCAACAAAGTACTAAAGCCAAAAAATAAATAAAAATACAAAATCATAGGTTCTAAGTTGGACTAATGGATGCATAATTTTTTTGCTCCTCTATTTTCATCCAAATTTACAGGTGGCAGGGGTACAAGTCACCCCAACAATATCAAACCAACAAAAGAAAAAAAGGAAATGCTGAAGGGGAAAATAAATGGAATTTGCCTGTTACTTCCATGGAGATCAAAATTTTTTTCACCGATGAAACCCTGAGTCAATCACTCGATTGATTCATTCCAAGTGTGCATCCGTAAAGAATAAGGACTGGATTAACAAAGATAAACATGCAAGCATAAAAAAAATAGACAAGGATTATATTTACAGATCTACACCTGAACCGAATGGTGAGAGAATCTTGTGAGGTCAACTTTTGGTAGCTGAATCTGAAGAAAAGCTATTACTACAAAAGAATAGACTCAATCCGCACCTGCATACATTAGATGTACTGAAATTTAGAAATTGTTTCACATCGTTGTAAAAGAAAACAAAGCTGGGAAGCATGAGGATGTATACATTAAAAACCAAGTTCATTTTACACTTGGTGTTTGCCTGTCTGTCTAAATACCTAAAATCAAGCATTCTCCATAGATTATTTAAGGGATAATTACATTATAATTACATCAACTTTCAACCTTTTCTTAATCAAATATATAAATTTTAATTTTTTACATTTGAGTACACCAATTTTTTCAAAATTATCAATCAAATACTTTTATCAATTTTTTCTCAATCAAATATATAAATTTTAATTTTTTACATTTGAGTACACCAACTTTTTCAAAATTATCAATCAAATCCTTTATCAATTTTTCCATTAACGAATGACGTGTCCGTTATCTTCGGAATACCAAATTATAATTATGCTCTCCTTTCTCAATAGAGTACACAAACTTTAATTTTTTCAGATTGAATACTCAACTTTTTTAAAGCTATCCATCAAATACGTTCCTAAATTTCTTCATTAATTGATAACGTGTTCGAACACCAAATTACATTAAAAAAATTTCTTCTTAAATTATTCTATCATTTTAAAATTTAACAAAAAATTAACAAAATATAGTTTTTTTTATTTATAAAATTTCGAATTAAATTTAGTAAGGCTTGCTGTCAAAAAAAAAAAAAAACAATTAAAGTTTTGAATGTGAAAGTTGAAAGAAACAAGAATATTAGATTTTTCATAAAAAATAAATTTTTGTGTTTTTTTTCAATTTCACTCTTAAATCTAATTTTTTTTTTTTTTAATAACAACCTAACTGATTTAGTTTGCAATTTTTAGAGATAAAAATAATGTTTTTTTTTTAATTATTTGTCAATTTTTAAAATAGTAAAATAATTTAGGAAGAAATTTATTTCAACAAAAAAAGGATAAAATCATAATTTTGCATTCGAACACGTCATCAATTAACGAAAAAATTGATGAAAATACTTATAGACAGTTTTTTTTTAAAAAATAATATACTCAAATGAAAAAAATTAAAATTCATGTATTTATTGAGAAAAAAGTAAAATTTTTATTTAGTATTTTGCAAATAATAGATATGTCATCATCAGTTAACAAAAAGTTAACAAAAAACTTGACGGAAGTATTGACGGTTTTGAAAAAATTAATGTAACCAAACAAAAAAAATTAAAGTTCACGTTATCAATTGAAAAAAGGTTGAAAATTGATATACTTATAGTGTAATTATCCTGATTATTTAAAAGAAAAATACCAGGTGATTAAAAAATATGCGAGTTTCTCAAACATGCAAAATTTTTCTCATTTGGATTTCCACCATGTTTAAGAAAAGTTTTATGTGATCCCAAATGTAGCTAAATAAGTTCTCCAAGAAATAATAATCGCAGTTTGATGGTGATGTGTGAGTAAAACTTACCCTAAACTTAACAACCATACAAATGCAAATGTATTATGAATTACCTCTGATTTGAACCGTCTGATTGACAGTCTGGGAACCAGCGGATGAAGGCTGGATTAATAAAGACATCGGAGTTAGAGGAGGTGAGGCAACATCCTCAACAATCCCTGAACTCTGAGCAACCGTTACTCTATGACTGCTAGATGGTATTGAAAAACTGCGAGTGACAACTTGAGAAGGTGTGGGTAGTTGAGATGCTACATTTGATGCTGATGTTTTGCTTGTACCAGGAAGCATGCGACCCTTGGGCAACAATGGAGCTGAATGACCAACCAAACCTTCCGCACTAGGAGACTTGGAGGTTGAACTGACTGGGGGTCTAGGAAGCTCATGTAGCTCACTGATTTTGGGCGAGGACACAAAAGTAGGGGAAGCACTAGGAGATACTTTCGGTGATATTCTAGGAGACACTTTTGGAGGTGATGATAATAATTGAGCCGTTGGATTTCGCAAAAGGGGTCCAGAGAACAATTGGTGATGTTCTGCTGAGACCGGCTTGGTAGACAATTGCTTACGTGTAATAGGACCAGAAAAGGCATATCTTTTGATTTTCTTGGAATCAGAAGCAGCCAATGGCTCAAGCCGTGAAAACAAGAGCCCATCAGCTAGAGGAGGAGGCAATTGAGCGGATGCAGTGTTGTTGTTGCTCTCCTTGAGTACTGACTCTGAATTTATAGCAGTGGGTTTGGTAGACATTTCAACTCCTAGTAACTTCTCAATTTTTTTTGGGTCAAGAGGGGTTGAATGCCACACATTGATTGTACGTCCACTCAAACTTGTCTTTAATGTTTGAGAAACCGGGCTACTAGATCCTGTGGAATTTGAAGTCTTTGGGTCTGCTGGGGTAGGCAATACATAAGTGTTGAACTTTCGAGTGGATGATGGCATCAGTTTTTTTGTTTTTGCAGCTGGATTAGATGTAGTTTCAGGAAAAAGTGGAGCTGATTGGGTGCCTGTACGAAGTTCTCCCTTAAAGGAAAACGATGTCCTGTAACTTCTATGTAGATTTTCCTGCGAGCAATCCAAAAGGAGAAGTATAAAACTCACCATCAGTCAAAGATCTGATGTTCTGATATTGCATTTAAGAAAATATTTTACAGCTAACATCCATGTTAGAGCTGAAACGGTGCAAGATCTATAGGGTACTCTATAGGTAGCAAGGGTGAAAGTTTTTATGTATCTGTCAACTGATCCAGCCCAACTCAAACACGAGATCTATAAATGCATGTTCAAGTGGATGTCTAAAAGGAATAAATAAGAATTATCTGATAGCAGAAATATTAAGAGCAGATATATGGATGCATGGCATTACATTAAGTTACTTTTATTTAGATTCTCCATGCTAAGTTTTCATACTGATATGTCAGGTTATTAGTTCAAGTACACAAATTATCAAAAAAGTTCAAGCATACAAGGATGCGTTGAATACAAAGATGTGAAATATTAGATAATAGTTCTTAGAAAGCCTGGCCAAACAGATCAGATCACTCATTAACAGGCTTACAATTGCATAACAAAGATATGAAAATAGCATGATCACTCAGAATGCACAAGTCCATAATAAGAAGGTTTACCTTTGTCATTTCCAATGTCGCAACCTGGGGAAATGTAACGTCCGCTGAATACAACTGCACAAATTGTTATACAGCAAGTTGAAGTTAATATGAAATAGAAATTCAGCTGAAGGATGCGTTGATAGAAAAATTGAAAAATCATGATGAATGACTATAAAAATCTTCTTGAATTCTTTTGCCTGAGGAATAAGTTTCAACATAAATAGGTAAGGCGGAAAGGTCATTCCTAGAATTCTGAATTCATGCACTAGTAACCACAAGTTTGCAAATTTTGCAAATTTCTTTCTTTTTAAAGCAATGGTATTCATAGCATCCTAAAACAAAATGCATTATGGTTGCGTTACTATAAAGAAATGGTAAGTTGCTTAGCTCCGCTGATGAAAGGGGCATTGAACTCTCACCTCTGTCGACTTTTTTGGTGTGGAAACTTCTTGTTGCTGGTCATTTTGTCCATAGTCAAAGCTCAATTCTCTGTAATCATTCGCAACATCATAATCGTCGTCGTCGTCGTCGTCGTCGTCGCCATCATCTCTCCCATCATCATCAAGTCCACTAAAGTGGTAATCTATATGGTGCCGTTCTGTAACCAATTTGACATGTGGCTCCACAGCTTCAAGAGATTTAAGAGCCTTCTTAAAGAAGCACAGCTGCTTTCAAGCAAGAAAGCATAATTAATTAACAATTAAACCAACAAGATGAAAAAACATATGTTTGAAGAAGAAGAAACCTGAGCAGCATGGTGCCGAGCTGCCTGTGTAAGAAGACTGCGAGATTGTCCTTGCTTCAGAGATTTAAGACGAAAGACAAACAAAGTAGCCTCCTCCTCATATTCATCATGAGCTGCTTGTAGTTGCTGCGTAGAAAAATTCTCTCCCTTTCCACTTCTTCCCCTCCCTTTTCCTCTCTGTCTCACCATGTGCTCGTATACATCTCTGTAGACCAAATAGCAAGGAGAGAAGAAATTCATCTCAAATTTCTGGGCTTCCTTTTTTTTTTTTTTTTTTTTTTTTGAGTATGTGGGTGCAAGTGTAGAAAGTTGCTTGAAATAGTACCACACCTTTTCTCATCACAAAGTTGCTTCATTTCCTGTAAGAACGAAAAAAGTCTTAAGCAACTGCTACTTCAGTAAAATGCTTGAATTACCTTACACAGGATAATAGTAAAAATAATAAAATAAAATGTGCAAGTTTGATCACCAATTGCAATCATAAAGAATTTAAGCATTTCCAAGGATAATTTAACATAATGGGCTTATGATAACAAAAGCTTGAAAGAAAAACCACTAACCTCAACTGTTCGAAGTTCATTTAGAAGAGACTCTGATGGGCTTATGATTGTCTTATTTATGTGAGAACGCTGGAAATATTAAACAAAAATCAGTGCCGCAACAAAGCCAGGATTCTTCACAATTTTTATTCATAACAGCAACTCACATAGCGGTCAAAAAGTTTCTGGAGTTCAAATTGCACTTTTCCCAGCATCAGCAAGACTCTACCTGCAAAGGAACAGAGCCAACTTCAGCTTCTCTTTCTTTCACCTTTCCAGAGTGCAACTACATGTAAAAGAATATGCACTCCTAAGGAACAAATTCAATGAATTAAAGACCAAATATTATCATTGCACTAAAGTTTGTCTGAATATATCAAGACAATATTCAGGATAACGGGAACTTGAAACAGTATCCTCAGTTAAAGATGATGAAAAACCAGGTTAAATTGTTGATTATGTGCCAATGCATAAGTAGATTCTCTAGCAACTTAAAGTAGAGAAAACAGAATCAATTTTGAGCATAACTTCAATTAAAGAAACAAAGGTATTAATAAAAACACAGTTTCCAAAGTACAGATTCACGAAGACCTATAATTACTGAAACAAACATAGTTTAGTACTGTAGTTAGGTCTCTGGAACCAAAGTATGTACCAACACAGCAACATATTGACTGTGAATTAGGTATTTCTCAGTCAAATATGATTACATGAATTATGAATCAATAGCAAAGGATTAAGATGGTTTAACTTTATATCTTCGTTGCAAATGTAGATAAAGCTATATAAAAGATATGCAACTCAGATGTTACAAAAAACACTGGAAAGAAGTCCCCACTAGCATGATTTTCTTTCAGCTTTTAAAACCGGTATCATGATGAACAAACCTGTCCACTGTGAAGTTAGTAAGATTCTTAGCAAATTAAGTCACCCACTATCCATTCAAATTGTTAATGAATGAGAAGAGTTAAATAAAAATTTCATTAACTTACCACTTTCTTCATCATCATCATTCAATGCAGTTTTCTCAAGAAGGCAAGCACCCATTTCACGCACTGATTCAGAGAATTCTGAGGAAGGATAGGAATGATGTAAGCGCATTCTAGAATCACACACCAAAAATAGATCCTTCAAAACATGCAGGTGCTCCTAATTAACACCGAAAAAAATGTGATGCTACTAATGAGCTCAGTTTAAAGCATCATTCAGTAAAGCTGCGACATGTGCACAAACTGGGTTACCACCAGTCACTGTTCATCTGGTGAGAATCTATTGCAACATAAGCTTCCAAAACAGATTTGATCTTAGGGATGACTTTCTTATAGATAATATTGAGATGCATGGTTTTAAATCACAGTCACAGCATCTCAGGCATCACATAACAGTCACGGCAGTCACAGTTACAGATTATTAGCAACTCTTTAAAAAAAATTAAGCAACAAACATATTTTTTAATAATTTTAACCAATGGACACATTAGTAAAAACTTTTAGTGATTAATATCACAAAAGCAATAGAAGATACTACATAATCTTGTTGATTCTAAGTTCATACCAATAATTTGCAAAATCAAATGTGGAAGAGAGTTGAGGTATTTAGATTAGATCTTAAAATGATCACTAGGATGTTTAGTTTAGATGCAAAAAATCTGAAGCGTGAAGATTTATTTTGGTGAAATTACTCAGACAAAATTAAAAGTGCATGTGAAGAATTGCTGGAGGAGACTATCACTGACAAAACAAAAGAGAAATTGGCACAAAAATTAGGTTTTCCATGGCATTAACAGCCGGACCATGCATGATAGCTCTTCCGGTTATGTAACAGGCCGTGATTGTGTTAAATGAGAAAAAGCTGCAGAAGCAGTTTCTATTGATAACGTGCTGCCTGATTTCTGTTATGTTATGTGTCAGCCGCTTTCTAAATCCATCTCAGCATGTACTCCATTATTAGTATCGTATCACTAGTCTTATGCAAAAAATTAGTTCTTGCCTCTTTGTTATGCACCAAGATGGTTTATGAGATTCCGTATTCCTCATGTGATGGTGTTGGCATACATCCTCCAACTCACTCGTTGACAGAACACATGTCATGCACAAAATGTGATTCATATGATCTAAATAACTCCATATCCAGTGCTACCAAAACAAAACCAATATGATGTTTAAATCACAACTACTGAGCCTTTACTTAAGGAGAAGGTAACTCCCTCCCTCCCTTTCTATTTCTAAATGTTTTGTGCTATAAATCATAATAATTAGCTTTTGCAATGTTGCCCCTGGATGTCAGTTGATGCAAGGGTGCTGGAGCTTCTTCAATCGTAGAACAACATTGTTGTTATAGGAAGGTCATTGCCTTAAAAACTTCAAGCTTCATTTTTTAAGGAAGTATATGGCTTTTACTTCTTTCTAACTGCACCTTCACCAATCAATAAAGGACGTCCACCAAAACTTTATCATTATGAGTTGCACTTCAAGTTCCCCCAAAAAAATCAGTGAATGGATATGATTTTTACCCTTCATTGATTTAAGCAAAAGACAGTTTGTTGAGGGGAAATGAGAATCGCACTAGTGAACTAACAATCAAATGATAATGGTAGTGAAACTGTAAATACTCAGACAATAAAAGAATAAACCTCTTGCGCCTTTTATGAATTGACAAGTAACATCCATGGAAAAAAAATACAAGAAATCCAAGCAAAATACAGTGTAAGAATAAAAGAAGAAGAAAAAGAAGTACCATAGGCACAATTGGCTGTCGCGGCGGCAGCAGAAAGTAAGCTATCATAGCAATCTCTCATATCATGCATGTCCTGAAAATAACAAAAAGCAACAAAATTTTATAAGAAACAGAAACCAGAGTGATCAAAAGCACAGAAATAAAGTGACTAACTTTCAAGCATTATAGCACTATTATAGCTTAAAATAAAGGTCAATGAAAGTAACCATAGCTAATTTATTCAGAAACCAAGCTGATCCTTCTTCAATGTTTATACTTCCCCAACATTGCTTTATTATTATTATTATTATTATTATTATTATTAGATAAAAAAAAATAAGCTCAAAATTCTCAATTATCTAGTCAACGACAAATAAACTTTGCAATTGACAAACACAAAATGTAAATTATTTAAGTAAGAAAAGGAACTAATTTTTTAGGTCCTGTTTGCTTGCTCATAAATCAAGGCAAAAAAAAGCGATTAATGAAGGGCATGAAAGTTTCGAAAGCTTTGCAGAAATTTATCAATTTCCGTGGATTTCTCGGCGACCAAACAAACGGTAGAGAAAGAGAGAGAGAAGAGTACCCGAGAAGCTTTAGCGAGCTCATCTAATTGTGCGATAGAGCGAAGATCCCTTCGGTCTTTATGATCACCACCATGTCCATGTTTGTGAAGTGCAGTAAATCCTTTCAATTTCTTCAAAGATGATTTCATTTTCTTTGCTTTCCTTTTCCTTTCCTTTGACCAGGAGGGAGGGGTGCAATTCAATTCGTTTCTCCTTGTTGTTAAATCCCAAAATCGAAGAGCTTTTATTTATGGCAACTGTAATGTAATGAAAGGAGGAAATGGGAAATGAAATTCTTCTTGCTCTATTCCTTCCCTCTTTTGTATTTTTATTTTATCTATTTATGGAATACATAGCTGGTTACGTCAGGAACAAGAAGGAAGAGGCGAGAGAGAGACATTTCAAGACAGAAATCTCAGTCTCACCAAATTATGAAGTTTGGTTATATTATTATTATAATAATAATAATTAGTTATTACTATAAAAATTGAATCAACCAACCAGAAAATAAAAAAGAATTGAGAAAAATTCTCTTTGCTCCTTCAATTCCTTGCCGCCTTCTTCGATTGCTTTTTTTTCGACAATAATATAGTACTATTATATTATATTACGAGTAGATTATAAATTAGTTGTTTTAGTTTTAGAAAATGAATTAAATAATTCTTCTAGTTTTTGTCAATTTCATATTGTATAATTTATTTTGTTTTTAAAAAAATATAAAAAGAAAAACAATAAATAGATAATATGAAAAATTGAAGTATAAAAAATAAAATTTTTGAAACAAAATAGTATTAAATTAATCATAATCAATACTGATTAAAAAAAACTAATTAATTAATTTTTGAAATTAGAAAAATTATTTACTTTATTTTGTAAAACTAAAGAGACTAATTTAGAATTTATCCAGCGAAAGCTTTTATTTGTTTGGATAGTAAGTAGTGAGAAATTATTTAATATACCGATATTGTATTTTTTTTGCCTCTCAAAAAAAAAATAGAATCTATAAATTATTTTTACGATAAGTGTCGTATTTTTGCTAAAAAAAAAAAAAGGATTGAAACTCCTAACATGTCCGGTAACTTCTATGCAGCATAATGGTCAAATATGAAAGGTACTTTCTCTTTCTTTACATCGAATCTATGGTCCACGGTCAAATTTCCAGTCTCTGAATCTCTGTCGTGAAGGGGTAACCAAAGCATAGACAAATACAATTTTTATTTTATTTTATGATACAAGATGTTCTGATCGTTAGATTATCATGGCATAAATTTTTGTGCATCATAATTGTCGCATTTAGTTTTTATGAAAAAAAAAAAAAAAAGTTTTATGACTTGTTGGTAAATTAAGCATAATATTGCTAAAAGTTGCCATATTTTACTTCGATAAAATCAGTTTTACAGAACATTATCTTCCAAGGGATAGGAGATCGAGACATCTCAAGATATAGGATGCAAGATCTTGCCCGAAGTGTTTAACTAACGTTTCTTATCCATATTCTTTATTTCATTATTATTACTTTCTCCGAGTTACCATAAATGTGCATGTGTGGAAGGAGCCCAGGCCGTTTATTGTTCTCGTAAATAATAGTCTTTTTGTTCAATTTTTTTTTTTTTACTTTTTAAGTATTTACGTCATGTCATATGTTCAAACTTTTTAAAATATTTTTTTTAAATTACTAATTATTAAATTTAATCATGCATTACAGAGAACCAATATTAATTTAAGAAAAAAAATCTATCTAAAATTAAAATGGTAAAGTAAAGAAAAATCATTACTTTAATTAACAATCAAATTTAAAATACTTATGAAAAAAATAACATACTATTAGAAATTGTAATATTAAAATTTCGACATCCATTAAAGTTTTTATAAAAATGAATATTTTTCACGTAACAAAAAAAATATTTTTATATTTTTATATTAAAGATATTTATATGTATAAGGACAAAAGTTATAAAAAATTTTGATTTTTTTGTTACTGAAAAACAAAAAATAAAAAAGAATTGATTTTTTATTAATTAAGATTATTTTAGAAAAAATATATATTATTTAAAATTTTAACAGTACAGGTATTTTAGGATATATATTATTATATATATAGAAATGAGATAATTTTCTTAGAAGATAGAAAGTATATTACTATTATATTGAAATGAAATGGTGCGTAAGGATCAGTTCACTTAAATGAAAACTTTTGCTGCTATTTTAGTTCAGTTGAAATGAAATTTTTAACTGAAAGTTAAGCAAAGAATAATTATCCGTATATGAGGAAAAAATGACATTTTCTTAAATGAAAAAGGCCATGCATACAAACAAATCATACTCAAATTCCATGAAAACATATATTAAAATTTTACATGAGAGAGAGATAGAGAAGAACACCATATCATCTAATAATAAACAATTGCTATTGTAAATCAGTGAATGGTTTTATCGATAAATTATAAATTAGTTATTCTTATTTTTAAAATTAATTGTTTAATTTTTATATTTTAAAATTTACTTGTAATTTAGTTTTTTTAAATTTATTTTGATTTTTTTAAAGAAATAGAAAAAGAAAAAATATGAAAAAATATAGAAACATTGTAAGAAAATAAAAAATTTTATAAAATAAAAATAATATTAAATTAAACAAGTTTAACTTTAATAAAAGAATTAAATAATGAGCTTCTTTTGCTGACCTGAAAAGGCATAAAGATTAAAAGAGCTCCTCAGATGAAGTTTCAGGGTGTTTTTAATTTAATGTAGATATTGTAGTATTACTGAAGAAACAACGTACTGAACTAAAAAAGGTCAGCACGCCAAAGTCTTCTTACACGTATGAAAATTGTTGAGTCACAAAATCAAAATATCATATAGGTAAGGAATTCTGAAATTTTTCCTTTATTACATCAACTTTCATTTTTTATTAATTAAGTATATGAACTTTAATTTCTTCAATTTCAGCACACCAACTTTTCTATTGTGTTGATCAAACGCTTCTTTAAATTAAATCCATCAATTTTCAGCTTTTTTAACGACTTAATGGTCAGATTTGGCAATTAACTTCAAGTTCGGGGCCTATTATTATGAGGAAAATTTCCCTAAAAAATAAGATTGTAATTAATAAATAATGATATTTAATTTTTTTTATTTGGTTAAAAACGAAAACCAATTTGAAAGGATTATCTAATTTCTTTATGAAATTATTTTTTTTATTTGACAATCTCGTGATACCTTCGTATTAGTTTTCAAGTATTTATATCACGTTCATCTCTATTCCAATCAAATTAAGATAAATTGTACACACAAAAACTAAATAATAATATATAACTAATAAATAAAGTACAATTAAAATATCTTTTTCCTTTTACTAAATTATAAATGGATATCGTGTTACATCCAGCTACATTATTGCTCTTTTTTTAAAACCAAACAAGAAGATATTTTAATTTATTAAAACCAATATTAATTTGGAGGGAACTTTTCTTTAAAAAAAGAAAAATAGTGATCCTAAAACCTAAAATCGATTGATAGAAGTCAGCTGCAAGTTATCATACAATGGAAAATAAATAAGTATGAAAGTACTTGATTGATACAATTAACAAAATTAATATACCAAAATAAAAAAATTATATATTTGATTGACAAAAATTGAAAAATCATTATACTAACCGTACAAATATCCATTATGCATTTGCGATATGTTCGTAGACAGCCCTCATAAGCAATCCATTGCTCTAAATTTTATTTTGGTTTTAAAATCTGTATCAAAATCTTACTAATCGGGATGAAGTTAAGTAATTTTTCAAACTAAACTAATTATCTTAACCTTATCTACCCAAACAAGATACAAATATATATTATAATATAGAAATATATAGTCAATCATTTTATTGATGAAACATCTGTTTGGTTTAACATTGACATCAGAACCCAGCTAGCTATTTTAAATTTTAAAGGATCACGACGTCCCGCGTTCAAGTATCAAAATAAAGTGGCCATTTTCTTCTCAATTTCCATTTTTTTATTTGCCTAGTCAATCAATTCTACTGAAAGAAATTAATTGAGATGCTGGCGACAATAATTTGTTGTCTTCTTCTTGTTTGTTTGAAAGTTTTCCACACCACGGTTTGCATGCTTTTCTCTATCCAGTCTTATTATTAAAATTACAAAAGCTAAAAACGCGAAAGAAGTTGACTTTCTCTGTTCAACGAAAACGTGTTCCTTGGTGTCTAACTTATGACGTCTGTCGCCTTCCATGACCTTTCACTTTTGTTTTCGTTGTTAGATCTGCCGCGTTGGCGACTCTTATCATTTGTTATGGGAAGTCGCAAGCAATCTCAGTCTTGGCATATCTGTGTTATTTGATTTCTACCGTACGTGAGGTTTTTTTTGTTTTCTTTATTATTTTATTGGAAGATTCGTCGGGCTTTAAACTACCTAATGAAAGGTAATTCTCTTTTATTATAAAATAATTAAATTATTGAAGCTCGATTTGTTTCAGTGAAAAAAAGCTATTGAATGTAGAACTAGTAGATTATACCTGTTTATGCATACAGGGAAATTGATGATGTGAAAAAAATATTCCATATGCTAATATTTTTTTTAAAAAAACTATATTCTTGTGTTTTGATTGCTAATTTTCTTTTAAATATCTTAAATTTTTTTAAATTGAATTTTATTTTTCAAGCTATTTTTTTGCTTTAAGAAATTAAAATCAAATCAAATTGAGTATATAAATATACATCACACATCTATTGAGTCAACAAATTATTGTCACGGTGTTTTAAACGAATATCCTAATTGCGAACTAAAGACGATATAAAAGGATTCCATTACCGAGTAGTTGAGGGACTCAACTAGTTGAATCACAACAATATAGGAACATCTCGGTGTAATTAACCCACCATGGTTATTGTAGTTGTGAGTATAGTTATAACACTATAAGAAGATAAGCAATTAGCCATGGATTTTAACGACGAATTTTAGTCCATATCTAAATAACTATTAAATAACGACGGATTAGCGGGGAAAGCAAAAAATGCATAATTTAACGATTACACGAGTGAAGGAATAGCAACGGCCATGTGGCGATGGAAGTAATTTCATCACTAAATATGATATATAAAAAAACACACCACAATCAATGATGGAATTCCGTCATTGA